CGTTCATTTCCAGTTCTCCAAGATCAGAAGAAGAGGGTCCGCTTTTCCCAAAATGGCTCCCATTTCAAAGAGAGAGACTTAGGGGCGTTCATTCCCGTTCTCCAAGATAGGGTCGTCTGCTTTTTCCCAAAATGGCTTCCCAATTCAAAGAGAGAGAGAGAGAGAGAGAAATGGTGTGTAGAGCGGTCATGTTCATTCTCCAAGATGGGGTCGTCTGCTTTTTCTCAAAATGGCCTCCCCATTCAAAGAGAGATCGTGGCCATTTTTTCCAGTTTTTTCCAAGATGGGGGAAGAAGAAAACCTAGGATCGAATAACACGACACACAGAGAGAGAAAGAGTATAAATTAATATTAATTTGTCTTTAAAAGTAGAAGTTACTTCATTTTATAAAGAAGCCGAATTTCAAATTGCATTTTAAGAAAATTTAACCTATTGCAGATAATTTTATAAATGTAATGAAAATTGCTATAAATCAAAATGCATATTTAAGCTTCACCATTAAACTTTATTTGAAATAATAATTTTATTTTAAATTAATATATTTCAATTCGGCAAGCAAGATATTTTTATTTTGTTATTAGAAACTTAAAAATTACATCTAACCCACTAATACGTCTAATTTAATTATCTAACGTTATCCCATCTAGTTTTGCTTTAATGTACCATTTGCAGAAACAGACATTGAAAAGATACTAATTTCTGTGGTCGTATTTAAAAAACTTAAATAATTAAGAAAGGAATCTTTCACAAAGGAATTTAAAAATTTTATTGTAAGAAAGGAATCTTTCACAAAGGAATTTAAAATTTTTATTGTGATAACTTGGAAATTCGCATATTATAAAACACTGATTAATTAAAGTGAAGTCTTTGCCACACAGGGGAAGAAAAGCTGATTTTAAGATAAAATTTTTAATTTATTAAATTCTTTTTATTGGATCAGACCTCAGTTCTTTGCCGCATTTAAATAAACAAATAAATTTCTTTGGAAATTTTATAACAGAAAGCCAACTTCGCTGGAGAGTCAATCGAAGGTTCTGAAAACTCTGCATAATTGCGCTGCATTATACTATTGTGTAGGATAAAGAAATATTTCTTTTAATGTAAGAGGAGGAGTTTTTTATTTTAGTTATTTTTTTAATTTTGACAAAAGTTGTAAATTTGTTCTCACAAAATCAAATAGTGGAATTACTTTTATTTTCACAAATACAGCCAATTTTAATTTGAACTTAAGTAAATAACTGAAATTCGGTTTTAATTGCATAGATTCTAAAATGAAAGGCATAAACGTGTTCTCATACTTACTTTTGAGCTAAAAGTGAATTAAAAAACTATTTTTTATATTAAAGAAATCAAATAATCTATTTCTCTTCAGTTAAAAGTACACTAAGGAAACTGTTTCTTTAATCCCGTCTAGTAAACAAACTATAAAATCATTACTAGAACATGTATTGATGCCTTCTGGACATCTTAACAGTTTGAATGATTTCAATAAAGAAATGAAATGAAAACTTTAAAGAAAGTCCAGTTTAAAGAAAAATGAAGTACTTTAAAGAAATTACAGCATCAATCAGGTTTTAATATGTGAAATTAATCTCATAACTGTTTCTGCTAAACATTTTTATTGCTTTCCAAATCCTCATTTATGCAATATTATGTGCCCCATTACTGGCAAGTGCCTGATTCACCCAAAAACGGTACGGCTCTGTATTATACAAATTCATTTAAATTAAATTAATAACTTTTCAAAGTATGCATTGTAAAATATAATATCTTTATATTATTTAAATTAAATAAAAAAAACTCAATCATGTTTATATTAAAGGAGAAGGATAACAAGAATGTCTATATCTCATGTTACCTCATCTTTACATCAAAACACATTTTCCGAATCCTTATCTTTGCTGTGAAAAACCGTATTAAAATAATTCCAAATGATTTAATTGTATGTTTGGAGAAATTTGTGGATAACAAAGAATCTTCATTGATTTTTCTCGCACTTCTATAACGTTCATGCATCTCTGGTATTTTTCTCGTCGATAATCGCTTTATTCTTAATAATAGTTTTTAAATTTAACTTCAATTATTATATATTAATTATTACTGCTATCATTCAAGTCAGTATACAATAAATGTTTACTCACCGTATGTATTGATTAAATAAAGAAACTTTTGAACTTAAAGTAAACTGAATGAAACTCATAAACAGCTGAGTTTCATTCAGTTTACTGTGTGAGCTACGAACAGTGTTTAAGCATTGCTATGAAGGTCATAGTGTAGTGTATATTCTTAGAAGTGAGTAATACAGATTTTCCGTAAGTCAGCTTTGGTAACAATAATTGTTTTTTGAGCTGAAATTATTAATTCATGCAAATTTGTTATGCTTTTGCATAATAAACTGTTTAAAACTGTATTAAATTTAATCTGTAATTGTTAAGAGAACAGAAAAATGCGTTTAGGAAATGCTGAAATATTTAAGACAAATAATTCACATTAATCATTAAATGAAAAAAATGATGCGATATTTTTACCGTAATACAATTATTTAAATATATTGAAGTTGTGCAATGTAAGAGAGTTATTTTAAATTTATAGTTTAAAAATCTCATAAAATTGTAATTTGTCAATGGAGTAATAACGATGAAAGAGAATGCCCGTTTTGTATAACTAATATAACTAACTATAAATATTTATTTCCTGTAATTTAGTTTCTATAACCACGTTTCCCAGCTACTGACTTTTGTGCCCATAACTATTTGTTCAATATTATAGATTAAGCAACAAATTGTGTTGATTTATAAAAGCGTGTAATTCAAAACGAAAGATTTAGTTATATAACAAAATAATAAAATAGGTAAATGTCCTATAAATGTAGTACCAAAATGGTTTTCTTTTATCCAATTATCAAAATAATTTAGCGCTTTTTCTGGAAGGAAAGCGATTAAGGAAGAGAGGAATAGAGAACAGAAAACAGTATTAAAAGCTGTTAGAAAAAATATTCCAAACCAAATAGAATTTTTTGAAGTATTTTTTCTGTTTAGAATGAGGGGGAGGGGAAGGTACTAAGTTAAGAAATATAGTTATTATAAATACTGCAAGCCAAAGAATATTTTTTTGAAATACTTCTATTTTGTAAGATGGAGGAAAATTAAGGTGTTAAATTAAGAAATACAGTTAAATCGTTGATAAGTTATAATAAGAACTCAGATTTTTAATATAATTTAGAAATTTTGAAAATATATGAAGTGTCTTTAAATATTAAATTCTAAATAATGAAAGCAAAATTATGTAGCTTCTAGATAGGTATTACTCAAAAGTATTCGCAATATATTACGCTTAAAAAATGTCTGTATGTGGGATCACTTTTGCATCATATATAATACGTCCAGCATTTTCTGCATACTATGGTTCATGCATATGTGTAACAAACACAAATGGATTTACAGTTATATAAGCTTAATATGGTGAGACACAACCATAGTACGATGAGAAAATTTCAAATGATTATATTGAATATTTTCAATAATTTAGAAATTTCGAATATTATGGAAATATTTTAATACCTTGAAGAGTATAATTCTTTACTGGATCGCTAAAACATTGTTGTAGTTACATGTTCACTAAAATAAAAGTACATCACGCTACATTTAGAAAGTAATCCTGTGTTGCGTGACATGCTTTTGCATCTTTAGTGACATTACATTCATGGCACTTAATTAGGTTAACATTCATATCACTTTATGGCGTTATATTAAAGCTGTAATGTGTCGTTATATGAATATCACAGTGTGACTTCCCAATAATATTACAATTTAAATTCACAACTTCGCAGCGAGACTACGCATCAACGTCATAGTGTGACTTCACAACAATGTCACAATGTAACTTCACATCAAAGTCCCAATTTAACTTTACATTAACGCAATGGGACGTTCCAAAAAGCGGACATTAAACCATACCCACAACGTTACTGCGACATTGAGATCGTCACAGTGTGACACGTTTTCAATGCCATAGCGACGTCGCCGTGCTATTGGGGTATATGGGTGAATGTATAACAGGTACTTTTGTATATCCTAATCCGATAGCATGTAGCCATTAAAGAGCGTGATTGTGCACTCTCCGGCTTGATTTTTTCCCGCAGAAAATATGATATAGAAATAATAAATGCCTCATCTGTTTTCGAAATTACCTTAGGGTCGTCCACCTGAACATGAAGACGCTGTGAAGTCATGTGAAACAACGTTCTTATAAATGGTGACAAACAGCGTTCAGACTTATTGCTATCATGAACAAAAAAGTTATACTAACGAATATTTTTATTTTATTCGTAATTCTAGAATTTCCAGTTTAAATGCATGTAGCAAGATTTTCCTTTCTACAAACAAAAATCTTCATAAAAGTTTTGTAAATTATTACCTAACATTTTAAGCAAAGTTTTCATAAATAATTATTTAATATTTAGGGCATTTTCATGAGCTCGCTAGCAATCTAATTAATATTTATTACATTTCAACATAATCACTTCAACTTCGGGGGGGGGGACCAATCAAATTTGCAACTCTCTTTAATTTCTAAAATTTAATAATTCTAAATTTAATTTCAGAAAAGATGTATTTTTAAATTACTCAAAAGGCTGAAAATAAAAATTTATTGTTACTTTCAAATGATAGAGACGGAAAAATTCAAATATTTTAAGTTGACGATGATACTTTTTTCCTTTTCTGACATTTTGGTATTTATTAGTAGCGCGTTTAGTAAGTGCATAGCCATACATTAAATTTAGAAGTAAACGCATTTCTTTAAACCAATTACTTATAAAATTTCTTTTCTCCACCTCACACTGTTTGTTATTTCGGAAGGTTTTGCGCATATTCTGGCTATGCTTCCAGGGATTCCATACTTCTACACATGCGTCGTACAAAGCCTTTTGTTCTGCGCAAGATTTCATGAGCGGTTATATCCTGGATGTATACTGAACTATTATTGGAGCCGTAAGATCGTATTCTTGATGTTACTTTTAGAGGCTAAATTAAATTGAAATATGCATTTAAATGTTTATTGACATGTTTTTATTTAACATAAAAATGTTTGTTTTGAAATACTGTTATACATTGTAAAAGTTTCAATGGAGACTGAAATTGTTTCCTCTAATTATGTTTGTCAGTTGTGTAAAGAATCATATGATCAACCTAAAACATTATATAAACATTTGCAGAAAATGCACAATCCTGCACGCTCGATGAAAGATAATCACACTTGCCCACTATGCGGAGTTTTGTGCACCAAGTACGAGTCTTACCGAGATCACCTTATGTACATTCACGGCCAAAGTGGGGATAGTACGAAACTGACGTTTAAATACCTTAATGGTGAGATTTAGCCAAACAGTTATTAAGTTTTTATATGCTATTTTTATGTAATTTAAATCGATAATTACTATTTAAAAGTTTAGTAAGCAGAAAGTAAATGTGGTATCTTGTTATGATTGTTTAACAATTTTTTATGTAAGAAAATCTTGTTTTATGTGGAAAATTTTAAGAAAGGTACTTTGCCGAACACTGTCATTAAAGGAGTCTTAAAGAAAAAATATTAGTAATTAATATAATTTTTACGTAACATTAATGAATTATTTTTGGTCTATTATATAAATACTATCATATATATAATCTAAGACATTAAAAAAGTAGATGTGTAATTTTATAAATATTCAGTTATTTTTTTGGAATAATTTGAATGAAGTAAGAACTTTTAGTTTCAGATAGATAGATAAGATTTATAATTAAAAATTTCATCAAAAACATAAATAATTTGAAACAGATATAAATTTAAAAGTTTGTGATTTGCTTTTAAATGATATTTTCTTTTGTTTTTTAAAATTATTATATTTATTTCAATTATGAGATGGAAAATAGGGTTTATATTCTGACCCAGTGGTTTTGAATTGGGAGCCATAGAGCATTTTATGAATTCTCATAAAATTGTTATTTTTCAGTTAAAATAATCATATGACTTTAATGATAGTTATTTAGCATATTGATAGTATAAATATCATAAATGCATGTAAAAATTTATGATTATTTAGGTTGATCTTTGGATTATGGTAACTTGGTGATTTTTTGGCAAAAATTTGGCGACCAACTCTGCTACAGCAACCCTCTATTTTTTTTTTCGCCGCCGTTTCTTTTCTTTTTATTTACTGAACACTTTTTCCAACAATCTACTAGCTAAATTACACTAGAAATTGCTAGAAATTTTATGTAACAAAACTGCCACAAATATTAACTGCAAAATTGGGAAAAAGTGCACAATCGCAAACTTTTTGCGCGTTTTTCAGAATAGAACATACACATAAATCATTTACACGTCGACTTATTTTTACTTAAAAAAACATCCCAGAATTGCACAAAAATGGCATTGCACACACTCTTAACTTTATCCATTTACACTGCTATTTTCTCATAAATTACAAAAAATTACACGAAAATGCAAAAAAATTCTGTGAATCTTTAAACTCGGTAAAAAGAACATATGAAATTACCTGATCGCGAAAAAGTATTACCCTTTCCAAAGATGAACATTTCCACGTATAAATAAATAAAATATCCAAAAACTTTTACCTCTAATTTATCTATTATATATAAACGTCACCAACGAATTCATACCTCAAACATTACAAATGGTTACAAATACTAGTGTCAAATATTTAAATTATTTTCCATGCACGTTTACTTCCACTAAAACGTATACCAAATTCCTACAAACATATTATTCACAAATAACTATAATTTAATTAAAATATAATTAAATTCAAAAACACTTCTTAAATATAAAAAATCATTGCTAATAACAATTTCCAATATACCATATTATTTTATTTACTCCTTACATTTAGAAACAATGCATAAAAATAATATTCTCAAATAATTAATACTAACTTACCTAATCTTCTTCAGAATCTTGATTACGTGGCCGATAAACTTTTTGTATTTCCTCCGCTAAGTAAAAAGCAAGTGTATGTGCGCCTGTTTCAGGATCTTTAAAATCATACTTATAGTTCACAGCAAGGTACCAGGTAAAATAAATAACTTAATAAAACATCTTTACTTCTATCTCGCACAACCTTAAAAAAAAAGCACTTATCACTATCCCTTTCAATCCCACTAAATACCCATTTCAAATTCACTTTAGTTAGGTCCATGGGATCCAAAAATTAACGAACATTGTTTCACACAACACAGTATAAAGCTAAATACAAAATTTCCAGATTTTTTTCCCCGATTTCCCCCCTTTTCCGATTAAAGAACTGTAATTCGTCCATTAATATCATATGACATATCTCATGATCTCTCATTTCCCTCACACAAAATAATGCGTAATCGGAACTGAGTACTTCTCACATTATTACCAAAGTCCTAGGTAGTAACCTTTATCGCCTCCAAAATGTCGCCAAACTACCAGTTACCATATTCCAAAGATCAGCCATTGTGGTCAATGCACATATTAATTACTCATTCATTTAAATCTTTGAAGATATGCTTACATAATTTTGAATTTTCTTATTGACTTGAAAATGAAAAAAATTCTTTTGTTGTATTTTTATTCTAAAATTTAGTAGGGTAATAAATGAGTATTTTGATGAATGAAGATAGAGAGAAGAGACTTTAATATCACACAATGTATGTTTTTAAATTGTTTTGTGATATTGCTGTTGAATTGAATTTAATAGTTTAAGTGCGAAGAACATGATATTTAATAAATAAAGGTAACACAATACATTAAAAAATGCTTCTTTAGGCATAATATAAAATCTGAAAGCTTTAAGATATTTTTTTTTTATTTTATTTTTATTTATTTATTCTTTTTCTGATAAATACAACTGAAGCCATACATAAGAAATCTTTACTTTCATTGAACAACATAAGCACCATTTTGTTCTGCGACTTTTTGCCACCTCTCAGCACAGCTGGAAAATTGATTTTTAAAAGTTATTAAGTTTTTTAAAAGTCATTAAGTTTATTTTTAAAGGAGTTATCAGTTTACTGTTTGACAATCTCCACAGAAGTGAATTCTAGGCCATTCTGAGAATTTTGAAGTGACCTGAAGAGCTGAAAGTCCTAGTAGGCAAGGGATAGTGATTATGAAAGCTGACACAAAACTTCTGACCTTTTTTGTTTGATTTTGATTGAAGTTTGACATTCCTAAAATTGTGGGGCCGAGCATTCTCATGATGGAAGATGACATTTCGAAGATTGCTCATTTTGCTTCAATTTCTGCTTAAAACTGCCATTTGAGAACAGTATTGGTATTTACGAATAATCCTGCCAACTTTGAAAGTTGGCTGCCATTTAATTATGAAAGTTGGCAGAGTTCTGTCAAAATTGTGCAAATCATTCATGCAGAATTCTGAGCTAAACTCCTACAGTAAAACATCATCAGTCTCTCTGCACTGTGTAACTTGAATTTATAGCGGTAGCTTCTTTTAATTGATCCTTTTTTATGGCCCAAAGCAGGCATCATCTTCAAGATTTAAATTTCTCAAATTGTGTTCAAACCATATTATCACCATCAGCACTTTTTATGCAACATAAATTTTGCAAGCAGTCTGCCTAGCATTTTTTCCCCCTTTTTGAAATAAAAGAGCAAAATATCATAAAAACTAACTTTTGGGTTCTCCTTTCTTAGCACTGTACTGAAACAAAAGTTATGCTGTGACACATGCTGTAATTATGCAACATGAGCAGAAAAGAGCATATTTAAACAGCTGCTTCAATCAAAATCATTTTATATCAGCAGTAGTAAAATATGGAAAAGAAAACTAATTTCGATTTGAAAAACAGTAGTAGTTTTGAAGACCCAAAAAATAATGCATATTTTCTGGGGGAATGTATATATTCTGTATGTGGAGAGCAGTGAAATTATGTACTAATCAAAAGGGCCATTTATAGAAAATGATTGCTGTAGTAAATCAAAATTTCCATGTGATTTTTTTATTCCCTCTTCATCTGGATAACTTGGACTTTCCTTAGCTATCAGTGTCTGAAGTTGTAAATAAGGAAGAGAAAAATAACGTACGAAGTCCAAAATCCAGACGTCCATTATTCGGAATGATCTAAAATCCAGTCCTCAAAGCCACAAATATTTTTTGTTTTGTTTTTTATTAATACTTTACGCATGCCCATTTGATTTTTCCTTCCGTAATGAAACATGTGGAGATTTTCAGTTAAAAATTCTGATTCTTAATTTCACTCACACACTAAATAAAATACCTCGTTATGGAAAAACAATCACGTAAGCATAAATTTGTGAGCTTATTGGCTTCGTAGCTGAGTATCAACTTGGCATACATCTCAAACCAAAACATTCACTTATTTTATATCCCTGACGCTGACCTGGCGAGTCATTATTTATTATATTTTGCTTTCATCACCGCATGTTTATCAATACATGACAGCTTCAGTAATAACTCATGCAGTGATATCTAAAAATTTTTTATATTAGTAATTGAATAACAAGAGTATGACAACCTTTTATGCTACCATTACGCTTGGCGATGATTGTAGATTTTTTAAATGCTGTAAGAAATGTTGACGAGGAAAAATTCAAAAAACATTTCTTTTCATATGCTAAAAATAGATTTTGTTAATGAAACAAATAGGCCAAAAGATTACATTTAGTGCTATTTTAATTAAGAATAACTGATGTGTTATTCACCATAAACCTAGAAGCGGTGGCAGAATATGTCGGCACCGAACAGCAGAATTTAGGGAAGACTTAATTTTCGGAATTTGCCTTGTGCCTTTATCATCGAATCTAATAGCAGCACACAGGTTTCTGAATCGCTTGAGACCATGACCCCTTGCAAAATTTCAATTCCAGTACCGTCTTTTACCCATGCTTCCACCAAATTCAGTTTCGACTTCTTTTTTGCACCCTAATAAGCATAAAATTTCTAAAAAGGCCAATATTTCTTCTCTATTAGCATCATACATGCTTCTCTTTGAGATGTTTTGGAGATCATCTGTAGTCCTGTTATATTTGAGATAAATATTTGTATATTGTGCGATAGCATCAATCATGTTTGTATTTGTGGTTTTCTGGAAAGCAGAAAACTCATCATTTATATCGTCACAAGTTTTGGCATTTGTGAATACTTTTTTTCATCAATTTTTTTCAAGGCGTTCTGGCGAATTTTCTCTTGAGGAGAACTTTATTCCACTTATAAGGTTCCTTTTCTTTCAGAAACTATTCTCCAACTTTCTTCTTTTTATAAATTGTATTTACAAAAGTCCTCACATTTTAAATCACTTATGTCATTTTCAATATCGCTAAAATCATCATTTGTTGGGGAAACATCATTTGAGGAAGGAAA